AAATGTCATTTCACTCTTTGATATGGTTTGTAATACGTAATTTAAAGGGTTTTGAATGTCATTGAACTTAAAATCAATCTAAAATAGAGTTTCCAAAATCCAAGATGGCGGAAATTAAAAAATGGCTGCCAGATTTTCTCTAAATTGGTCAATTTTTAAGATAATCGTCAATTTTCTGTTTGATATGGCTTGTAATATGTCCTCTATTAAGTTTTCAGAGTCACTGAATTTGATAATTGTAGATGATTGTTTCAGAAAAAAAAGGGACAATCACCAATCTTTCTATTGGATTGGTTTATAATAGCAAATTGTAATAGTTTTTTTAGGGCAATTGAATTTGATCTGACCCGGGAATCTACCTTAATCTAAAGAAAAAAAGAGTTTTCAAAATCCAAGATGGCGGAAATTCAAAATGTCAACCAAAATTTATCTAAAATGGCCGATTTGTCAGATAAAAGTCATTTCACTCTTTGATATGGTTTGTAACACGTAATTTAAAGGGTTTTCAATGTCATTGAACTTAAAATCAATCTAAAATAGAGTTTCCAAAATCCAAGATGGCGGAAATTAAAAAAATGGCGGCCAGATTTTCTCTAAATTGATCAATTTTTAAGATAATCGTCAATTTTCTGTTTTTATATGGCTTGTAAGATGTCCTCTATTAAGTTTTCAGAGTCACTGAATTTGATAGGGGGGTTGGATGGCTGAATGGTTAGCATGCGCGTGCTGTATCATAAAGTCTGTCATTGAGTAGACTGGCGTGATTTTGAATCCCCGGTTGTACGTGGCAAGGAGTAGGGTCGCCTGTCCAACCTCGTGGGTTTTCTCCTGGTCCTCTGGTTTCCTCCCACTGCTAAAGACCCCTACGCACAAGCCAATTATGTAAAAAAATTAAACCATATGTTAGTCCCGAAATGACCTAGTTTGTGCCGAGTGGACGTTAAACCCTATTTCTCTCTCTTTCTCTCTGAATTTGATAATTGAAGATGATTGTTTCAGAAAAAAAAGGGACAATCATCAATCTTTCTCTTGGATTGGTTTATAATAGCAAATTGTAATATTATTTTTAACTTAGAACTTGGTGTGCATTACATTACAGACGAATATGATCTGTGGATACCATACCACACAAGTTGCGGACACAGAGACTTCGATGATTTCACTTTATGAAATACATGACTGACAAATATGAATTCATCTGTCTAGATGATACCACAAACGGTTTCCGGACATAAGTCTTCTGAACAAAAGTTAATAAATATTGATATTCGTCAAGCAGTGTGCTATGAGGAAAATTGGCCCAGACAGTGGTACTATGGTGTACTCTTATTTCGAATTCCAACTGTCTAGGGTTCTTGTATGCGCACGTCAACGTGTACATATAAACCTGGTTTCTCGAGAAGCCCCCGGTGCTGCATCCTGACAAGGAGAAACCACACTGGAAAATCCTAAGGTACTTTTTCAGCAAACATAGGGATCGAACCCCAGATCTCGTTCTTAGCGAGTCTTACTCACTGAACCACTATTTCGAACCATTTCTGAATAAACAATAGATAAATTCTTAACAACTGGATATATATACCTCACTGTTTTGCTGGAATAATATTAAATCTTGTTTATGTGAGATCCAGTATAACAGTTCCAGTTACCATCAAAATAACTACTACTCTTTGCTATTACAAGCCAATCCCATAGGAAAATTCACGATTGTCCTGTTGTATTTTTAAGCAATCATCTACCATCTTCAAAATTCATTTTTGATGTAATATTCATTTTCAAAATTCATTTTTGAGGTAATATTCATTTTCAAAATTCATTTTTGAGGTTATTTTCAAGTTCGTGGACTTTGAAAACCTAATAAAGGACATTATTACAAGCCATACAAAACCGAAAAAATGACGATTATCTGAAAAATTGTTCATTTTAGGAAATTCTGGTCGCCATTTTGGATTTTGGAAACTCTTCTTTTGAGGTTGTTGAGTGACACAGAAAACCCTTTAAATCGCATATCACTCGCCATATCAAACTTAAAAATGACGATTAACCGAAAAATCGACCATTTTAGGGAAATTCTGGCCGCCATTTTGAATTTCCGCCATCTTGGATTTTGGAACCCCGTTATATTTAGATTAATTTTAAGTTTAGTGACACTGAAAATCCTTTAAATTACATATTATAAATCATATCAAAGAGTGAAATGACTTTTATCTGACAAATCAGCCATTTTAGGTAAATTTTGGCCGCCATTTTGAATTTCCGCCATCTTGGATTTGGGGAAACTAGTTTTAGAGATTATTTTTTCAGTTCAATTACTAAAAAACCTTATATATGATATATTACAAGCCATACCTTGCGTGATAATCACCCATACTATCTGGAAATTAATTTTTCGTCAAATTCTGGCGGCCATTTTGGAAATCAGAAAAACCCCAACCGAAAATGACGTCACAGAAGTAAAATAATCTCATAATCGTCTTCAGTGACAAATTTTGCCTCAGAAACAACCCGACCCCAAATTTTGTTCCGATTGTGACACCCCTATTGGTAAGCCGACTTATTGTATGATGACTTATTGTATGCCAATTTGCCCTTGCGCCTTCTGCTGACGTTGACCTAGTACATTAATCGCGTAAATTATTAATTTCCGTATGCAAATGAGCTTAGTCGTCTATCCCATATAAGGTATATGTTCTAATATGCATTTGCTTATAATGTAAAATGGAGAAGTGTAATGTGCAAAATAACTGTATTGTATTTTGTATTATTGAAAAGTGTATTATGTATTTTAACACTTGGACATTGGTATTGTGAAGCAAGGGAAAGTGCAAATTGTAAAACTAAAATACGTATTTTGATCTGCTGACATATGCAGTTTGTACAGTGAACATTGAAATAAAATCATGAATATTTACCAAAAACTGACAGAAAATGTTAATTCAAACCCTCGTCGTTCATTTAGACCAAAAATTCAACAAAAATAGGCATGCAAAAGGGGAGAAAAGATACGGAGAGAGAATTGCTATAAATATACGTACTACAATTTTTAAGTACCAAGATCGTGAAATTTAATTGTGGTCTGCCTCCATCAGGACTTCGACCAGTAATTTCTGCCATTGGGTTCACTGTCAAATCCATGACTATTGAAGACGGCTGACCGTTTTGTTTTTGTTCTAGATTTTGTCAAATGAATCAACAGTTCATTACCGATAGCAACCTCATTGCAAACAATAACATTAAATATTCTTGGACAGCATCCATAGCAAAATTATATAAATATTATGATCTCCCTCATAACCCTTCTCCCTCAGCAACTAAACTAAAACTTCAAACTAAATTCAACCATCATTTTGCAGAACTAACTAAATCAGGAACCAAACTGAGAACGTATGGTCTGTATAAAAACTTAATAAACCACCCCGCTGGTTACCTTCTGCGGGTTAAAAATAAAAACTTTAAATCCGCCTTTTCATCGCTTCGACTCAGCTCACACAAACTGGAAATAGAGAGAGGGCGATACAATAATATTCCACCTGACCAAACTTATGCACCCAATGTTCTCTTGCTACCGTAGAAGATGAATTCCATTTTCTGTTCGCTTTTCCACATAAAGTGTAGTGTCGTTAATATCTGTCATTAATGAATCAATCCGACTATAAAAGTTATACAGGCATGGGTCATAAATTAATTTACACGTTGGTGTTAGCAGTGAGTGTTAGTGGGATTAAGAATGTTGATTAGGTAATTATCTTTTTTTACGCAGGCCAGATCAAAGACATCACTCTAAGTGAAACGTGTGCGTAATACCTCACGAACGAACTAATGGTAGAATCATATACACACATATTAATTGTATAAAATAATTAAGTTTTACTAATAAGTTGTTTAAAATTACTATATACCCAATAGTTATTGCTCACCGGTGTTTTTGTAATCAAGTAGCCTCGTATTATGTGTTGATTGGCGTTCAAACAACATTTAATTGATGGATGGATTAACGTCTTTGATTCGATTAGGTTATAATGTCTAACATCGGTTATCTTCTTTATAATAAAAGTATTTTACAATTGCATTGACAGGCCAGTCACGTTGTAATTGGACCGTCAATAGACGCTTGTCTAGTTGTCGTGTGTATTGATAGTGCTATATTGTACAGACGGTGAGATATTGTATGGATAAAGTATATCCTATGTGTAGTGCCTGTGACGTCACCAGCCAATCAACCGGATTAAGGTCGTAGTTGAAAAATCGAAAAGCATTTTGGCGTGTCGGATACTTAAACGTTAATTTTAATCAGATTGGTGTGAACTTGTCGTAAAGTTGATATAGTAACCATGGGCTATATATACATGCAATTTAGATTTTTGATCTTACGTTGTCTTTAAAATATATCTACCCTACTTTAATACAATCTTGTCATAACCTTTGGGCTTCTTTTTAATCCGCCAGATTTTCTTGCTAAAGCAGTAGCAATGTATACATATCATGCTTTTAAGGAAAGGGGGGCACCTGCCTAGTCTATTTGATCATTATACATGTATACTTTGAACATATTTTCATTTCATTGTTATACTTTCATTGTTATATTTTCATTATATCATCCCAATGGTACATTCATTTTCATTTCATTATATCATGTTATTCCAATATATTATTCCATGCGTATGGTTTGTATAATGTTCTTAATTGACGTAATATGCAAATAAAAAAGTTGAAAGTTGAAGTTGAGGTCTGTGACGTGTTGGTGATTCACCTATTTCATGTGTGTTTACTTCATGATGGTGAATCGTGAATATTCACCGAATCCTGGCAGAAAATGTTAATTCAAATACTTATTTTCTATTCTAGACCAAAAGTCTACAAATATGATCATTAGGTAGAAATAGGAAAAAGATAGAATTGGTCTATTAAAATGGACGGGTGAAATCCTAACTAGCCTTAAAATTACAATATTACTCACCGTGTGGTCCACGCTTTTACAACCCTTCAACCTAGGAACTCACCTTTTATAGCCCTTTATCCTAGGAACTCTCTTTTTCGTTTATCTAAAACGCCTGTAGTCTGGTGAAATATTTCTTCGTTCAATAAATTTCTTCCTGGTTTATGGTTTCGGTCTATATGAAAGGGAGATAAATCGGTGGTGAGCGTAAAAGGGGACAGGCGACCATTAATTTCCCCGTTGACTTCAATGTTAATTCTGGCCTCTTTGCCCGGCTCCAACCTTTCCCAAAATTTTCGTTGGACTGAATGCTTTTCACTACAGACAGAGAAACAAATGGTCATGTCTTTGCACGAAAATTTGTATGAAGTTGACCACCAAATTGTTTAGATACACAAACTTAAAGAAGCATACTGAAATATGTAACTAATTGCCGTCCATATCACCGTAATCAACCTGATAACTCTGTTATCCTTTCGCATCTAAATCGTGAATATTTACCAAATCCTGGCAGAAAATGTTAATTCAAATCCTCTTCGTCCATTCTAGACCCAAAAAATCAACAAAAAATGGACATGCAAAAGGGAAAAAAGGGACACAGAGAGAATTGCTATAAATAGACGAATTACAATTTGTACCGAGATGGTGAAATTTAATTATAAATTCATACATCATCAAAATTCTTTTTTCATAGCTTCAAATTTATTTTTGCAACATTATTATAATACAGAATAAAAAAAAATAATTACTGCAGAAATGGCGACCCTTTAAAGTTATGTGCTATTTTGTATACCAGGTTGCAGCTCAGGTCCATGGGCCTTTTGTTCTAGAATTGAAGATTCTTTCTTAATTTTGTCAAAATGTGAGTTCTGAAAAAAAAAAGATTTAAAGAGTTTCAAACAAGTCACATCAAAATTATTCAAAATATTGGAACATTTTTCCACAAATGACTTTCTTTTACACGTGTCTCCTTGGCCAGTATGCAAGAAGACAAGCTGCAAATTGGTTGCATTGAAGGTAATTGTAAGGAACTATAATAAAACTTGTAAGCCCACCCCCTAAAAATGTCAATGTGGTAACAAATCGAACATGAGTCCACGTAAGTAATACTGTTGATGGAATATGGCTAATAGCCATGTTCTTCTATCCCTGATATACATACATACAAACACATGTACTTGTAAGATGTATGAATCATTTATTAAAATATGGATTGATAAATGTAAAACAAATCCTGCATTTAGGTGATAACCAATCACTCTAATAAAAGGATCACAAAGCCATACACAAAAGTTTTAGAAAGCCTTGAAATCTTAAATGTAACTATGTGTTGGTGAACATAGAATGCCTGGATATAATCCAAACACAAAATCCAATTACTGCTTATTTGGAGTCAATATATGTTCAATTAAATATCCAAATATCATGTTCAAGAAAAGGGGTGGGATGGGGAGGGCGAGCCATTCTAAATGAAATGAAGACAGAGAATTTTCCCCGCAAACACATAGATTTTTATTTATATATTATATATATATATGAAAAACAACCATTCCCAAACGTGTTATTCCCATGAGGTAATAAAACTTATCACCAGAACATCTACATATTTGACATTTAACTCTACATCATTAACGTCTTCACAATCTACATGGTACCATTTCAAACATGTGTCACAAAATTTTGACAAAGGGGGATATCGTAGCCGATTTCTTTACTGTGAAAAAGGAAGGGGCATCATCTCCTAAAATGGAGACCATGTCGGCATGTACACATGTATTTGTATTGGGGCTAATCCTTTCAGTTGTAGGTACTTGGTGGCTGTCCTATAGCCAGTTTTGTCCATTTCTGGAGATTTCAGTGGGTAGGTTCACAATATGGTATATGATTAATTCATTGATTGATTGTACTTGTTAGTAGCAAAAGTTTGTTTCGGTCCAATTAATCTATTCTTTTCAGCCTTGCAACTTTTTAGCCAGCCCTCGTAGGTTGTGTATAACATCATAGTATCAATTACTAGCATATATGTGAGCCACGGTATAATATGTTAGGTTGTGTGGAAGATGCTAGAATCAATTACTAGCATATATCTGAGCCACGGTATAATATGTTAGGTGGTGTGGAAGATGCTAGAATCAATTACTAGCATATATCTGAGTCACAGTATATGTTTGAAAATTATGAAGGAGTGAAGATGTCGTTATCGTTGAATAGCACGTAATTTTCTCCAATTGTGGATTATTTTTGAAAAGTTCTTTGCCTGATATGACAACCAATCTTTAATAATGATAAAGAATTTTTAAAGTGAAAGATATATGTGACGTCAAATGCACAACAACGCCATCTTGGGCAAGAAGCTTTAATGACGTTCATTAAAGCTTCTTAATCTAGGGTCCCAATCAACTCTACGTCACTATCTATATGCCCTTTTATATTGCTGTGTCGCAGTTGGCTGCCCCGACAGACAGAGATTTGGATAGATATGTCATAGATTTCCGTGAAAAGGAGTCTACAAGAGATAAAACATACATTTTTTTTAACGAAAAGTATAGCTGAACATACCTTTATTAGTATTATACAACAAAAAGCGCACATTAATTGCTACATAGCCTTATTCAATAAGAAAAATTAAAATAAAAGATACACCAGATAAAAGAGCTATTAAACATATTTAACTTGCATTCGCTTTTTAAGGAGGTAAATCGCTAATATTTGGAACCTAGAAATTGACACAAATGGGTCGCACTAAGCGCAACATGCGTTTCGGGCATATTTGTTTCATCAGTGACACGTCCGGTGTCATGTGAATGCAACGACAACAGCCTGATTGATTGATTTGTTAATTGGAGTTCAGATGTCTTCATTGTCATTAATATGGACCACTGTCAGGTTGCCGTATTCACGGCCTGAACTACGTAGCAAGACAACGCGTTTTCCGACTTGTAATTTTCATAAATTTTGTAACATAGTATCAAAGGATTTAATAATAACGATGACTGTGAATTTGACTTCTTTATTTTAACAGTACAGGAACAAACATTAATAATTATTACATCTATAATTCTAACAACCAAGACAGGACACAGGAACATAACATATCACATTGCAGTCATTTCCGCTATCGTCATAATTCACGCCTGCCTCCATTTAGAAATGGTTCCACGACTGATGTCTTCCGCCTTACTCCGGCCACAGTAGTGGCTCGTCCTACAGAGATCCTTTGCGCAAGTGTTTTAGTCAAATGACTACAAAAAAGGTTACTGGCCTATAACTCCCTTAATTTACACATAAACTGACCCAAAACAGTACTGCACATAGCTTAACATATAATAAATCACTTCCAATTGCAATAAAGGTGAAGCCTTACCGCATAACTATATGATTTGATGAAACCCAACTGCTACGCGAAATTTCAACTGGCCGGTGTCATGGCGGCTTGCGTAATACGTCATTACAAGAAACTCCGCTATGCAAATGTAGAACGCATAACCACAAAGAAAAACTGTTCGATTACTATTTTAGTGGTCCAGTCTTCACTATTTGTCATAGAATTACTTATTCCAATACAAACTGTAATGATATGTGTTGACAATTGTGCGTTTGGACCTATTTGAACTTGCGTAAAGAGTCTTAGACTGTATCAATTGTAGCGTTAAACACACAGTTTAACGTTACAAGTATAGTAACTAGCCTTCATTGTGGTGCACCCTTGTTTGCCTTGAGCTGCCCAGCTCCTCTAGTGGACAACCACAGCCCGTCTCATTTATGTCATATACCTAAGGCAATTTATACTAATTCAGTTCATTGCAGTTATCTATTTAACTATTGTACATGCATAAATGATATAATGAAATGAGATTATCTCTCGATTAGGGGGTATATATCTTTGTTTCTAACGCTTATTGGAAACTATAATAAACACTTGTTTACAAAAACATTCTAAAGAGTGAAAACTGACATATTTCAAGCTTTACTGTATTTAGAGAAATAATTTAGATCAGCCGGCTGAAACGTCATCTCCGCTATTTGCTCATTCTTTAGGTATAGTGTTTGTTTCCACCGACAATGATATCGCAAACCAGTGTTCATTCTATAAAACCATGCATTACTACAAAATGTTTCTTTAGTCAACTGAAACAAGAAAATTCATAACTATGCGAGGGTGGGATGAGTAAATTCGTGGGGAAAAATCTGAATAGGCTAATGAAACAATAGAACAAGTTCACCTTGATCTTGACAAATACGTAAGACGATATAAACATCAACTAAAAGATCTTGTGATTCAGCTGAAATGTGATATATATGCATCATAGATAATAAAAATCTCTATTCATGTTAAACCAACTGTATCTATTTATTTCTGTGTTACGTCTAGTTGAATAAACTATATGATTTATTGTTATTAAAACATCTATAGGTGGGTTAACAGTGTGCGACTAAAAACTGTAATTGGATCTTTATTATTGCCAACATTTTAATGCGCCTTCAATTTTCTACGCGAAGTCAATCGCATCTAGATATTTAAAGCGCGTTAACAATATAGTCATTTAAGACAAACTATGTCACTTCGGGATTAATATATCGCAAAATGCATCTTCATTTGACAATCGACCTCCTATTTACAAAACTATGATTCATCCGAACTACAGTGTAAACACCGTTTAGAGACTCTATCTGAACTACAGTGTACATCGACCTACAGAGTAATCATTGTTTAGCGACTCTATCTGAACTACAGGGTGAATCAGGGTTTTGAGACTCTATCCGAACTACAAGGTACATGGGTGTTTAGAGAGGCCCTATCCGAACTACAGGATGCATCAGGGTTTAGAAACTCAATAGTTCACGGAGTACATCATGGTTTAGAGACCATCCACCGCCGGCTCGTCCCTTTTAGCATCACGATCGATAGTTCCCATGGGTTCATTTCTGTCTGTTATTCATTTCACGACAGGCTCTTGTAATTGCCACATTAGTATAGTTTTCCACAAGCAATGGAGCGTCCCACTCTATTGGTGGTAAGGTGGGGTTCTCTCCTTGCTTTTATAAAACTTCCCGTAAAAATGTTTTCTGTAATTTATTCTGATGTTTCTAGCTTAGACACAAATTTGGTGTGTGGCAATCCTATCTGAAATTAAGTTTTGAACCCAATATTGAATTCAGTAACCCTAAAACCCCTTATTTTACAAGCAATAACCACAAGGACCTATCTGCACCATTTATAAATAGTATTTTTAGATAGAAATTGAATCCAGCAACCACCAAATCCATATATATTACAAGCCATATCCAACGGACAAAAATGACGATAAAGTAAAATTCCACCATTTTGGATTTCATTTTGCCGGCCATTTTGAATTTCTACCATCCAACACATATATAAAAGACATATTACAAAATTCCGCAATTTTGGATTAAATTTTGACGAAACTTGAAATATAGGTTTATCTCCAAAAGATCTCGGTTCCTTTCGATATTGGCATGTATCGGATCGAAACTTCATGGATTATGGCCCTTGATTGTACGAAAAATCACATTTTAGGCTTGTGAACACTGTAGAGGTCACAATCTTTATCCGATTTGGTTGAAATTTGAAATATATGTTTATAACCCAAAGATCTCAGTTTCTTTCGATATTCGCGCATATCGGACCATAACTTTCTGAATTATGGCCCCTGATTGTACGAAAAATCGCGTTTTTAGCTTGTGGACCCTATAGAGGTCATAATTTTTATCCGATTTAAAAAAAAAACAACGTATTATTATATCACCTTTACACCCTAAGGACGACTGAGTTCGAATTTCGTGAAAATCGGCCAAAATTGACAGAGAAAGTGGCCGCCGTTCATTCTCAAATGGCGTAAACATACGGTATATCAAGGTTGTGGACCCAATAGAGGTCACAATTTTTATCCAATTTTGTTGAAACTGGACATATAAGTTTATAACCCAAAGATCTTGGTTCCTTTCGATATTCGCGCATATCGGACGGTAACTTCCTGAATTATGGCCCCTGATTGTACGAAAAATCGCGTATTTAGCTTGTGGACCCTATAGAGGTCATACTTTTTATCCGATTTTAAAAACCGTATTATTATATCACCGTTACTTCCTAAGGACGGCTGAGTTCGAATTTCGTGAAAATCGACCCAAAATTGACAGACAAAATGGCCGCCGTTCGTTCTCAAATAGCGTAAAATATGGTATATCAAAGTTATGGATCCTATGGAGGTCACAATTCTTATCCGATTTTGCTGAAACTTAAAATGTAAGTTTATAACACAAAGATCTCGCTTCCATTCGTTATTTGCGAATATAGAATTGTAATTTCCTGAATTATGGCCCTTGATTGTAGGAAAAATCACTTTCTTTTTAGCTTTTTCTCTATCCATCTCTCGAAAATGTGGGCGTATCCTGCCTGGCAGCCGCTGGTTATCCGATTTTGTTGAAACTTGAAATGTAAGGTTATAACCTAAAAATCTTAGTTCCTTGCGATATTCGCGCATATCGGACCGTAACTTCCTGAATTATGGCCCCTGATTCTACGAGAAATCACGTTTTTAGCTTGTGGACCCTATAGAGGTCATAATTCTTTATCCGATTTAAAAAAAAACGTTTTAATATATCACTGTTATACCCCAAGGATGGTTGAGTTCGATTTTCATGAAAATCGGCCCAAAACTGACAGACAAAAGGCCGCCCCTCGTTCTCAAATAGCGTAAAAATATGGTATATCAAGATTGTGGACTCTCTAGAGGTCACAATTTTCTTCTGATTTTGATGGAACTTGAAATGTAAGTTTTTAACCCAAATATCTTGGTTGCTGTTGATATTCGTGCATATCGGATCGTAACTGCCTGAATCATGGCCTCTGATTGTACGAAAAATTGTGTTTTTAGCTTGTGGTCCCTCTAGAGGTCACAATTATTAACCGATTTAAAAAAAAAACGTTCGAGATACTGTGGACCATCCTCGGGGTATTCCCAGTGTACTCATTCCGTTCTACTCCATTATACCCTGGGTTAATCTAAGGGGGAGACACGTTTTCAAGTTATCTGCCCTTGGTGATTGTGCTATTTTTATCGACCAATCCCATAAATCGTTAATTGCAAAGGCTCCCCTCCAAGAGACAAGGTTAGGAATTAACCAGAAATGAAATGAAATCGGGTTTAACCCCCTACTGTTCTGCTTCGAACTGGGCTAATGAAGACGGGCATACGCCATACAGTGTGCTATGAGAGAAATTTGGCCTGGACAGCGGCACTAAGGCCTACTCTCACGGGATCTTCTACGTGCACGCCAATGTGTACAAGGGACCTCGATTTTTCGTCCCATTCGAACGACTAGACAGCAGTCCTTGTCAGGCCCTCCGTCCTGCATTACTGACATGGGGGAACCACGCCGGAAAATCTGGATGAACGTTCTCGGCCAATGCAGGGATCGAACACCCGACCTTCAGCCTAGCGAGTCAGCGTCTTACCCACCGTGATCCCCTAGGAATTAACCAGAAGGTAACCTTGTCGCCTTGTGGTAACCCTTGGTCTACCAGTTCGAATTTTGACCCTTCGCAAACGAGTTGACTATAATCCCAATTCGTCCTTCCACAATTTTGATTAACATTTAATTTCTGGTCTAATATTCTTTTTTGCACTTTCTAATCCTTCCTAATATTTCTAAATTTTTGCCAGTCCAAGTTTGATTTTATTGCTTTCCGGTGAATTTTCTTTCTCTTTGCTTATTTTCAAAATAGTCTTGTTCATCCACAGTTTGTCTTTTGATCTAATGGTTGCAGTTTTGTTCGGAATATGTGTTCTTGCCAAATTTTTTAACTCGTTTATGACGGCGGTACATGAAATGTCAATAGAAGTTTTATCAATAATGGTGTCCTATAAAATACTCCCACCATCACGTCGTAGTTGATCAAAGTCATCCTTATCATATGAGGCTAATTAATTTCAGATGCTTGCAGTACACAGGGCAGTGATCACTACAGAAATTGTCCAAGAAACCTGAATCAAAATTCGTTCAAATTAGATCACTCATGGATCCTGGATGATTTGTTTAAAATCAAAAAGAGAAATTGCCGAATGGATAAAAGTATTGGATTTCGTGAAGAGATCAATATTAAAATCACCAAATATAATGATATTGTTTATATCGTCTGCTGCCGCCAATGACAAAGAATTTAAAAAAAAATTATTTATTTAAACAGTGGAATTTGGGGGTCTTATTATTAATATTACCTGAGATTGATTACATCTAGCAATTGTTTTTAATGGATTGCCTTACCCCTAAAACCAAAGTATTGACACCCACAATTTCCTGACTAACCTGAATGGCGAGCGCGTTATTGTCGATTACATGGAATGATTGGCATCTTGGACACACACCTTGATTGCAACATTTCACTAAGTTTGGTCACCAAAGTTTTGTTTCCTATTTTTATGTTTTAGTCATTGGTTAGGAGTCATCCCTTTTGTCACAGGAAATATTTATTTGAAATTTTATTTATTTATTTATTTAATTCTACATGTAGAAGGTTCAGCTCTTAATTATATAAATGTCGATTCAGGAAGCATTGGTTACTATAAATAGTGTCTTTGATAATGTCGTTATATTTACATACTGAACATGATTATTATTAAAGTGTTAAATCATTAGATTTATATGGTCCTCTCCTTAGATAATAAGTATTCGTTACACTGCAAAAGTTAAAATTTTACCGAGACCAAGGACGTTAAGTCTCATTAACAAATACATTTACTGCATCAGAGGCCTGTTAAACCTTGACTAAGTTAATATTATTTCACAATACTGTTTATATATTAAGTCATATAATATATTTTATCAAAATACGCCTCACATTCAGCTTGTTTATTGCATTTTGTCTCACACTGATATTGTGTAGTTAAGGGGCCATAACTCCTTCAGGAATGTTAAGCTACCTATTTCCCCACTGACGTCAATATTAAATCCACGGCATGTCTTTTTTTAACATTCTGGTGATCTTCATCTTTATAACCACAACATAGGCTGTATTAAACCTTTGACGTATTGGGAAAACACCTAATTTAGATCTGAATTACATCTATACGTAATCTTAAAACCCAAAGAGTTGCAAAATACATGGTATTCTATATTTCTGTATTTTAGGAAATTGCTAGCATAAAATCAGATGTAGCAAACATAGTTGATGACAAGTTTAAAGAAAGTGACGTCGGCGCACAACAAACGATATTTTTCAATATTCCTGAATCTAAACACGATAATGGAATTGGTAGGAAGTAATTGGGATGGGAGGTATATTGACATCATTTTGATATGTAACGTGCATTAAAAGTCAAACTGTGTGAGATTGGGGAAAAGAAAGTGAAGAACGTGTTTGTGAGAGGGTTAGCGTTGGGGTTAAAAAAAATCGGTTTGCTTGACCTGCTTCCTACGTGGCTAGTTAAAGAATGTCAGACTGAACTCGGTCCTATTATTCACCACCTAGTAAACTCGGCTATAACCGACTCAACATTTACGTTAATTTTTAAGGTGGCAAACGTACTCCGAATGGTTAGCACGTGAGCACTGTATCATAAGGTCTGGCATTGAGATTGAGTCAGCTGGCGTGGTTTCGAATCCCCGGTTGTAGGTGACAAGGAATAGGGTTGCCTGTCCAACCTCGTGGGTTTCCTCCCGCCGCTAAAGACCCCTACGCGCAAGCGAATTATTGAAATAAAAAAGAAATTAAACCATATGTTAGTCCCGAAGTGAAATAATTTGTGTCGAGTGGACGTTAAACCCCATTTTTCTCTCTATCTCTCTCTCTCTAAAGCTATTTAGACCCGTCTCTAATCTAAGTTTCGTTTCGAAAATAATAGAAAGGTGTATAGCTAAACAAATAACTGCAGATATTGACGACAATACTATGTTAGAGTTATTTCAGAACGCCTACAGCAGGTACCATACTACAGAAACTGCTTTACTTCGGGTACATCATGCTATCAATCGAATCTCACAAATATGTTACCCTTATACTGTTGGACTTATCAGCAGTGTTTGTACACCTACGCTCTGAACGATCTAGTAAGGAAACATGGTGCGGAATTGTATGTCTACGCTGATGACACACATTTATATTTATATTTTTTTTTTTAATATTATCGTTTTAATATTTTAAAAATTTATATTTTCATACAAACACCATACTGAACAACATTATTATTATTAAAGTGTTAAATTATTAAATTTCTATTCGTTACACTGTGAAGGGTGAAATTTATTGTGACCAAGGACGCCAACTCTCATTAACCAACAAATCTGCAGCATCAATGTCGAGAAGCAGGTTGAACAAATTAATATTATTTCTAAATGGCAAAATCCAAAAAATGAAACGTGGCAATACCTCAATTGTTGATGAATGATGTTTTTATAGTAATAATAAAAATAAAATAAAACCAAGTACGAACAATCCAAACCATAAGACAGGCAAAATAGTGTATTCAAGCAAAATAGTGTAATCAGCAAATGGACTGCTCCTCGTGTACAAAATACACGACAAACAGTGGTAACAGGATCTTATATATATTATTCGCTTGTTTATTGCATTCAAATTAAATTCTAAAACATTTTTTGTACTATTAAGAAAAGTAAAGGTGTTGAAAGTATATATGGATAAAAGGAAAGCGTTCTTATTACCGCTGTTAAACAGGGTGACGTTGGTATTGCGTAGTTAAGGAGACTTAACTCCATAAGGAACGCTGAGCTAAGAATATTAATTCTCTCCCCGTTGACTTCGATAATAGATCCGTGTCATTTCTTTTTTTTGTTTCAATGATCTTAAAGGGGAATTATGTAAGACTGTATAAAGAGCTGACAGTTCCAGCCATGATAGTTAAGAAATAGATAATGAAAAGGGAATATGGATGGTGAAAATGTCAGTCAAATTACTTCACTCTGATCCGAGTTATCGCCGATACAATTACAGTATACCCTTGATTGTCATTGTTACAGTTGTTACGATAATAAACAAAGGCTCGATTATCCATTTTTACGCTAAATCATCAACCGCAAATCGTATTTAAATCTAGAGTATCCGAGGCCATCGAGAAATGATTATGATCTTGGTAAGTTAATTAAAGTCTAATTAATAACTTATATAACATTTAAGGCATAACGAAAGACCTGCATCATTTAAATTTAGATCTTGCATAATGTATGTTAAAGATGACATACCAAATACATGTACTACGTTTTAGTTTTAGTGATATAATAATAATAGCGTAATGCATCTTTAAACTTTGTAATCACAAAGAGCTCATCTGAAAGGGGGACTGGCTATCTCGATTTTAACTATTCGTTTATTTTTTTCAATACCCAGAATCATGGATTCAAAAGGAAGGGGGCCCGCGTACAATGACGTTGATGGGGGCGTCAAGCGGAACGAGGGCGGGCCGGGATCCCGGGGCCTGAAGGCCCGGATCGGTGGCTATTAGTGTTTAATTGACAAATTTCTCCAAGAAACGTGGACGGACAGAATCAAAATCTAATCCTACCCACGCTACAAAACTACATTCAGAAATGTCACCTATTTTGTTCTACTTTACGATCAAGTAACAGTGTATTATTTTTATAGGTCCACATTTTCATGTGGACGTGAACCGTCCGTCCGTCCACAATTTGTTTCTGAACACTCTACAGGTCACAATTGTTATTCGATTTTGTGAAATAGATTTGGCCGAAAACTGGCACTTGAAGAATGTCAATTCTTGTTCCAAGTCGCGATTCAGTTCCAGATACGTAGAAACAAGCTCACCATCATGTGAATATAAACCTGAAAATCTGTCCTGGCGATCAAAATCATGGGGGGGGGGGGCAAAGACCTATTCGTCCGCCCCACCCTTCCGATTCTAAGGGGGAGGGACCCCCACCCCCCATGTTAAGGTTTAAGGTGCCACTAGAAAGGACCCGTGACAATTGGAATTCGAAATACGAGTAGTTCGTAGACAATGTATGTTTAAGTTGTATGAATCAACGCTTATAATACTATACTATATTATGTCAATGTGACATTACACAAGTATTCAGATATGCGTGAAGAAATTTGACAGTTACAGCGTCAGCGAGGCAGGCCGCAAGCGGGTCAAGATATAAATAGCTATTGCGCTGTCTATCATTACAGACGAAGATCTCGGGATTCGGCCAGTTATTTAGAAAAGAGTATCCGCCATAGATTTTACAACCCCTATGTTATTAACGTAAAGATATTAATAACAAAGGGACTGAAAAGGCTATAATGGGCGGGGTGGGAGGGTGCGGGGGCGCATATTGATGTATTAAGAACGACAAGAGAAAATAATATCTCCACATAACCAATTACATACTAGGGCTGTATTTCAAGCCGCTGGCAACGTTACGTTTTCCATTGCCAGTATATCAGTATCCATATATAGACGTTTTCTAATATTAAATATAAGTTTAAAATATATATTCTTGTGAGTATTGATACCAAATAGCCATGTTCGAATATTAATTATAGGTTTAAAATATATATTCTTATTTAGAACGATAAAGTGACAGTTGAAGATATCATCGGAATACTTCATATTCTTAACGTGTAATACTGAAAGATTTATGTATGTAAGAGCTAAATCTGCCTATTGCGGAATTTTATTTTGTCCCTCTAATGTTACACATTATTAAGACTTTAATTTATACACAGGATAAACCCATAATCAACTCTCGAATGACAGAGATTTAAATGCATTTAGAAAATTTAACGATAAAATGGATAATAGATAAATCTGAATCAAATAGTACATTTTCATGGAATAACAATTACTATGGTTTATTTCACTGTGACGTTTCAACAAGATTTCACAAGTCGTTATCCAGCATATATACACAAATAGATAAATATACAAACTATCCAATGGTATGCAAGGAAGGTGAACATGAGTAAGTAATTGTTATCTTATTTATTTATATATTTATTATGTTCTTTGTTATCTCGTTTTATTAGATAAATATAATATTACATTGCTCTATAATCTACGTACCTGACCAGATTTATCTATTTTATCTGATTATTATCATCAATTTATGTATCTATTTATCAAATACAACCATAAAAAAACATTACCAACAAAAGTTCTATTGTAAGGCTCTACGGAAACTTCCGTTGAACAAAATAATTTAATATTTTCTGAGGTGTAGAAATTATTAAATAATAGATTAATCGTCTATTATCATTACCATCTGTTGTTTACGCTGTCACATGTTAGTACACTTTCAGGCCTTATAAAAGCCAACATCAAACAATATGTGTATCAAATAATCTTTTTATTTGAAAAAACATAATATTGTATACTTTCAGAATTGTATTAATTAATAACACAATACGAATAGTTTCGACTATATACATATGTTTAAGTAAACAAACTGTAATTATATTATTTTGTTGAAGGGAGATGGGTGAGATAGGTCTGGCCTGTTCCCCAATCCTATTCTTATTGAATAAAATATAATATAAAAAATATATATTAATGTTTTAAAACTGGTTTAATAAAATATATATCCGAGATGTTAATCTATACAGGATATGATGTGATGACACATGGAATTACAAAAGGACAAATTTTAGAATCACATAAAAATAATTCTGACTAATAATAATATACTCTACATTGTTCACATAGAAACGTAAAAATTATAAATAAATATGGCGACATTTTGTCTTTTGTTATAATATCTCGTCATGTATTAAATATATGTCGTCAATTAAATTCATCACAGCTTTCTATTGAAGCATTTAAATATATCAAAATATATCAAATTAACCATGCAATTCACACGTCATAATTTGAATGTTGGCCTTTACAGATTTCTTTTTAAAGATTTTAAAAAAAACATAGGAAATATATCACAATTAGCATCTGTCACATAATGTTTCTGTATACGCCAGTTTTACAAAACCCACGGTTAAAATAACCAGGTATTTCACACGTCATTTGTAACATTCACGTGCACCTGTACTCGAGGTTAACAAACCCCACAAATAGTCAGGCGCCAATGAGCAGAAATCCCGAACACTCCCTTAAAAGTTCACTTTTATTCCCCACAATAATCGTACATTAAAGATTTATTTATAGGATCCTGGATACTTTTACCATAATGCATATTTATTATGTGTTTGTATTTATTTGGTTGACTCTTATCTGGACCTATTATTAGCACACATCCACCGCTAGAACCGTTAGTAGTTTCAGCATCATTGTGTGCAAATACAACGTTTTGTTTTGATATCGCGTTATTGTCAATCTTGTACAATCTCTGAGTACTATAATCCATCTGAAGGTAAAACATATTACCTTTAGAATCTGTCCGAAAAATATTCTTAACGCGATTAGTACTGTTACCCCCTTCACTGTTCACACCCCCTCTCTCATCCTCTGTATATGGATGAATGTCACCGTTGAAATCCGTGTAATAGATTCTAGGTATATGGGGCGGGCCCCTTCTTCCACTATATTCAATTTCTAACGACACCTTGTCAGTACGTTTATTATAATTGAGATGACTATTCTCATCTCTTACTCCTTCATACAGACCACCAATACTGATATATTTTAATCGACTGTCGGGGTTGGGGTACGATATAACATAAACAAGTGGGTTGTTGATATCCTCCAACCAGCTTCTGTCTTTAAACATTTCCCGAGCCTTTGTAGGTATTGTATCATTTCCTACAAATATTATTGCACAGCCTGTTTCACTACAGTAACACACATCTCGCATAGAACAAGTGGTTGATGAATTGTCTATAAGGAATTTACAGGTAACTGTGGTATCAGCATCCAATCCTGGCGGAGTTTGTAGTTTTAAAGCATGAACTACAAACCCATGTTGACTGCTATGGTATTCAATCAAACCTTTAAATGGCTGATGGAGATTTATTTCACCAACCTTTATATCTACTACGAATGGTTTAATATCGGGAATCGCATCACTCTTCCGTAGACGACCAGGATATGTCTGCAACAAAAGAATAGCCCTGTCCTGTTTCTTACATCCACCCCAACAGTGATCAATAGCGTCGGCAGTCGGCAGTCGATCGTCCTCGAAGTCAACCACAATATTATCCAATTTATCCGAGACACTCAGATCCTTAACAACATGTTCACAAGTTTGAATGTATACCTTTTTGCCCATTCTAAAAAGTATGCCACAGCCTAATGGCTGATTAATTCCTCCTGGACTGTTCAAATTAAGCCGAACAACTCTTATACCACAGTTTGTAATAATCTTTTTTAAGAAAATGCATTTTTCCTCCTCCAGGAAGACTTTGAGTGGTTTATTATATTTTGGGGCCACATAATCGGGATTTGTAAACGGTCCTTCCATTGTATTTGGGTACTGTAGGCGAAGTGTTTCATTGATTACCGAGTCCGTAAACGATGGTTCCATTTTATATGCTGTAAGAGAGAGCAATAGATATAAAAATATTAACACAAAATTAATGAAATAATGTAAATTGTAAGAAATCGACATCACGCAACGTATTGAGAGATGGTATCTTGGCGTTAATGAACTCTCTAAATGAATGCACTTAATTATACAATAAAAAACCCGGAATTGTGTTTCTCGCTGCGTAGATGTCGCTTTAACTGTGGAAAATGTGAAGAAATTAAGGTAATTTGAAATCGAAAATGAAAATGACTATTTTTTTTCGTGGGGGGGGGGGGGGGGAGTGTTTAGCAAAAATGAGACCAACTGATCCACAGGCCCCTAATATGAGTGACATAGCCATGGACGGAGCACCTTAGGTGTGCTCTTAGGAATTCCATTCACTGATCTTTTGGGGAAGATATTCTGATGGTCAGAAAGCACGTATAACATGAGTAGAATTGATTACTACGCATGGGAATTCATGTTATTTATTAAGAATTTTGCAAGAACGTACAAAGTGATAATAATAATACCATTTAGATTGATCAATATCTTCGATATATTGATGTAGGGAATATATATAAATTAGCAAATTTGAGCTTTGAAAAACTGGCGCGTATTGTGATATCCAATGAAAGTATAATAATCATATTCATAAATATATTAGGAATTTGGGATGTTTTCCTTCTATTTGGGCATTGCTTATTTACACAGTTAGTTGATTGAGTCGCCGAGGCATAATTTTGTTGAGACTGACTGCACTTCTTTTTCCTTGGGGGGAGGGGGGAGTCGTGGAGTGGATGCCCCATTTACGCATACCGTGTTCTATAATTACCTAAATATAGAACAGAGGAAAAAACGTCTGCTAGACTTTACCTAAACTGTTTTGGAGACCGTAAACATTATATGATTGTTTCACAACAAGGTTGCAATTATTCATTTATCGTATGATTTTATATTATTATATATTAATTATATTTCTTACCCCTTTTGAAATCTATTTTCAACATAGATCGATGAGTTATACAATTGTATCTACCTTGCGTCATACATATTTAAGTCACGTGGTATGCGAATCACCAATAGAAGCTGAGAACAGTCGCTTGCGTGGTATAACAGATTGGCGTAGCTGGGAGTGTAATATTTCTTGGAAAAACGGAGCCATTTGTAATTTGTTATTTTAGAATTCATATTTATGAAGGAACGACGACGACAAATGTAAACGTCTTAAAGTCAAGTTATGTTGAGTGAAACCAAACTGAACATACGCTTCGTGGATATTAAAAATCGGAAAATGGAGAACTGGGGTAAGGGTAAGTTACCATCTTTCTGCTAAATCGTGACCCCATTAATGTCGCTAACCCTAGCCCTTATCCTAAAGGGAGTCAGATCAACCATGATCGCCGCGCTCTCCATGTATAATTTCTTATAAATGTGTAACTTTCAAATAAATAAACATATTTACTAATAATTGGTTATTTTATCAAATATGATTTATTTTTGTTTCTATTGAACAGTTTAAACAGTTTTATTCATGAATAATTTTATAATTCTATACATGACAATAAAATATACGCGTGTATCTAAGTGATTGGGATATTTGAATATCAAATCAGAATTGACAAATGTTTTGGAATAAAAAGATTGACTTCCTGAATGATTTAAACAGATTAAATTGTAATGTTTAACAACAACACAATTGTAAAAAATACCCCTAAGTATAAATACATTTTCTGACAAAAATATGAGTCATATTAATGACGTATAACGTCTTTAATAGGTATTTAGTTCGCGTATTCATTAGTAATTGAACATATAAGCACAATGTACAATTTTATGGATCCACAATCAATAACTAATTGTTATTGTGTTTCCGTGAACTTTAACCCTATAATATGTTAAATATATAGCGTTATATACAATATACACATTATATAAAATAAAACCAAGTACGAACAATCCAAACCATTAGACAAAATTCGAAGTCTTAAAAAAACGGTACAGGCAAAATAGTGTAATCAGCAAATGGACTGTTCACCGTGTACAAAATACACGACAAAAATACATGAGATAACCGAGGAGTGGTAATATTTAGGTCAACTTTCTGCTATAAACACGATACAAATACATGTACATGTATTACAATATGCCCTGTTGCTTATATAACCCACTTTATATCTATATCTACACAGTTTCTCTCGCTCTCTTTACATATATACAGTATACAGTCTATCTCCCTCTCTCCTTATAAATATGTACAGTAAATCAAATAAAGACACCAAAATATCTGTTTGTACTGAACATCTTCAGGCCATTGTGTAACTATAAATATAAATTAAATGTAACATAATAATATGTACATATTTACACATTTAGTAAATAAAAAATAGAAAATATAATTATTTCATCTGTCACCATAATATCCGTTTATTTATTTCTAGTTTATTTTTCTTTACAATCAAGTAAATCAATATTTTAAGACTTCAGTCTGTACATGAGAAATATATTGAATTTTCCACCTCCACACGTTTCGATGTGTGCGCTTCAAGGTGTTGTTCGATTTTTTGGAATCTAAATTTGCGATGTATGAAGGTTAATTTCAAGGTTTAGTTGACCTTCTATTTTACCAATGTATTTCCCTTTACAGCCATAACATACAATAAGATAAATGACATGTCATGCTTTATTTTACATGAAAATAAATGGATTCGTCTAATTTAATGGAGCTTCCTTCGAATATTGTTTTACAAGTTAAACCCCTTTCCATCCACACATTTAGAAACAATAGTCCTTTTTTTATTTTCTGAATCAGATTGTGAGGAAGTGAGAATTCGTCTCAAGTTCGGCGGTATTTTAAGTCCGTTGATCACATTTGTTTTGTTCATAATATATTTAAATTTTTCACTTTTAGATAACAGTGGTAAATGTGATCTAATTATGTCTATATCCTGTTCTTATAATAGAACTAATGGCGACACGTGGCGGTATTTCGGATGGATTGGAATCAATGAGCCAGAAATACAGTATTGATCTTATGCCTAGTTATATTTCAATATACAGGCTTTCAACACCAAACGTGACATATGCGCTTTTTATTGGTCCAGCTTATACTAGGTAAATCACACAAGAAATCTATATCATCGCATATGTATCGCATATTCCTGCCTTTGTTCCAATACTGCATATTGAATTTCTTTGGTAATCCATAAAAATTAGCATGTTTAGATTCAGATTTGTTATTATACATCTCTTAAATTTATTTATTATATTTTTAACTTTCTGTTCATTATTTAAATTGGACAACTTATAGAAATTACAATCACCTAATACTTCTACAGTATTCTGTCTATAGTACAGTTCTACAGTATTCTGTCTATAGTACTGTTCTACAGTATTCTGTCTAGAGTACTGTTCTACAGTATTCTGTCTATAGTACAGTTCTACAGTATCCTGTCTATAGTACAGTTCTACAGTATTCTGTCTATAGTACAGTTCTACAGTATTCTGTATATAGTACAGTTCTACAGTATCCTGTCTATAGTACAGTTCTACAGTATTCTGTCTATAGTACAGTTCTACAGTATACTGTCTATAGTACAGTTCTACAGTATTCTGTCTATAGTACAGTTCTACAGTATCCTGTCTATAGTACAGTTCTACAGTATTCTGTCTATAGTACTGTTCTACAGTATTCTGTCTATAGTACAGTTCTACAGTATCCTGTCTATAGTACAGTTCTACAGTATTCTGTCTATAGTACAGTTCTACAGTATACTGTCTATAGTACAGTTCTACAGTATCCTGTCTATAGTACAGTTCTACAGTATTCTGTCTATAGTACTGTTCTACAGTATTCTGTCTATAGTACAGTTCTACAGTATTCTGTCTAGAGTACAGTTCTACAGTATCCTGTCTATAGTACAGTTCTACAGTATTCTGTCTATAGTACTGTTCTACAGTATTCTGTCTATAGTACAGTTCTACAGTATTCTGTCTAGAGTACAGTTCTACAGTATCCTGTCTAGAGTACAGTTCTACAGTATCCTGTCTATAGTACAGTTCTACAGTATACTGTCTATAGTACAGTTCTACAGTATTCTGTTTATAGTACTGTTCTACAGTATTCTGTCTATAGTACAGTTCTACAGTATACTGTCTATAGTACAGTTCTACAGTATACTGTCTATAGTACAGTTCTACAGTATTCTGTCTATAGTACTGTTCTACAGTATACTGTCTATAGTACATATTGTTCATCAACATAATGTCACCCCCTTTATCGTCTCGGCTTCTTTAATAATGATATCCCCATTATTTGAAAGTTTCTGTAATCTATTTCTTTCTAGGGATGATTGAATACCCTGATCTAATTTTATATGAATATAATTATCTAGGTGTACATCTCTACCAGTTGATGCTGTGTTGATAATTTTTGGATCCTTGTCCTTGTTTACCTCCGCGTTTTTCTGTTTCCACTTGTCTCTCTCTGTGGTTTAGGTTGTCTGTTTCTTTTCACTACCTCTGAAAATGTCACATATGTCTCTCTCGGAGATCTTCGGCTTGTCTTGACATTTACAGTGGCTTGTGGGGAACGTTTCCTAGAATATAAAGGACTATTAAATCGTTGTCTTTTTATGCTAGCGAGAATAATCAGATAAAATGTTTTTCTTTGTGGGGATATTCTGTGGATCATGTCCTTCTGTTTAACCCTCGACCATTTATCGGATTGTTGGTAATTTCCAACAATTGTTTGTCAATTGTATTTCCCATTTCTTCAAACTTGTTATTTGTTAAGGTAAGTAATTCATAATATTATATATTAGCTTCAACTGTTATTTGTTAAGGTAAGTAATTCATTCCCCGCAACTGTATTAGCTTCAACTGTTATTGTGAGTATACTGACTTTAACTTGCAGTTCTAGGATAATGTCGGGAAGATCATCGACATTTTGCTTGATCTTTAATATATATAAAATAAATTAAAGAAAGACACAAAAATACTGAACATTTTTATTTATCGAAGATTACGTCACACCTATATTTTTTATTATGTGAATGTAAATGTTTTCGTCAACTGTCACAACCTAACAACTCTTCTTGTGTTTTTCAGTATTTCCCAACCAATCAGAGCGTGTGAGTGTTCAACAACCAACCAAGAAGTTATATCATTATGACGTCAATAATGATACAGACTTGATGTTTAATTTTGATGGAGAGTTTTACGTAGCTGTAAAGCAGAATGAAAACCTGACCAAAAGCGATTTGGTCGAATTTACTTTAAACATAAATGGCGATACAGTCACTTCGATTGTATCTAGAAATAACTGTGTTATAAATTGTACGTCAAATGGTTTCTGTGTTTATAATATTCCTGATATAACAACAGATGATGTTAAAGATGGACCAGCGGTAGTTGATCTAGAGTTTGATGGGCTCGTCCATTGTGCTGCTGGTATCCTGGTAAAAGATGACGTCATTGAAACCTCTCTGGATCTTTCAGGAATCAATATAAATGACGTTACCGTGATAACTGATACCGATGACTATACATGTAGCCAGCTGATTCCATGTCATAATGATAAGGGTTCTAAATATCAACTGCGTTCAGATACGTTTGGAAAGTCAGAGATGAGTTTGGTGAAATGGACTGAAATTCAAAAAGTTAGTTGGTTATTTTGTTGTTTTACATTTGTTGGTGTTGTCGTAATGCTTTAGACTTTTTTCTTTTGGTTGAGTCGGGGGTTATGGTGGGGTTGGGAGAGTGACTGTATTGATTCATGGAATCATTGATTCTGTAACTTAAACACCGTGAACTGTACCCCCCCCCCCAACGGTTTAAAGGGCCATTAGAACATCTACAGACGTGACATGTGTTGGATCGACACCAGTGATGTCACTTCTCCAGATATAATTTATGGTGTTCATCGTGTGTTGGGGGCGGGAATGGGCGGGGGGGGGGGGCGGGTCGACGCTCTTTTAAAAACGCATAAGACTTTGCCCATTTAAATACGATCAACACGAAACTTGTGGACAATTGCACATCGATGCAATGGCGTCGCAATTCTTTGATGGCTACAATGATGTCACAGTCGGTTCCTGGTCCATATAGTAGGCCAGTATATTCTCTAAATACATGAAGATAAAACTCCTGTATTATTAATGTACTATTAATATCATTTTGTTCTTTTTCCTACAGAAAAGAAAGTCACCAAATAATGGCGAGATTTTAAGGTAATAATTTTATTTTAGACGACAAAGTACATTAGCTGAATATTCTCATCTAAATCAATATACGCACACTTACAATCGACATCGATAATTAAACATTTTCCTATCACTTTCATGTCTACCATTTGGTTGAGAAATTGGTCTGGTTTTTTTTCTAGAAACAATCGTACCCGTCCATTGGAAAACACGAATTTCCTTCCAGATAATGACGTCATACAAACCAAGAAAGCCAGAACAACAAGTCCACTAACAGGTAAATAATGTATCTATATCTTTCATAATCATAATACACGGCTAACCATCTATTCTTTAGAACTTGGAAATGGACAAAAATGGGTCAGTTTATACATTTTTATTGTAAATTAGTTTTTTTTTTGGCGAAATACGCGCGCAGTTCAAATTGAATGGCAATTGTTAGTCCAGTCTACAAATCAGTGGGTTTGTCATTTCACATCCGTGCCGACTTGTGGGATATGTTTGCATTGTTCACCATGGCCACTTATTACAAATGACAGGAGAAAACCACTGCTTATAAAATTTCTATTGTGTATTTAAATATTTTAAAGCTGGATCCAATATTTTTCACGGTAAGATAATAACATTAGTATTGATTGAAATTAAATAATATTAAATTCCCCTTTTACTGTCGGCGATGATGGATAATATTAAGTTAGAGGTGAACAACCCTTTAAACTGTACATCTAAGGTCCGAAACAGTTTCTATAAACTTTGACCATGTATTTTGCTATTCCAGTTATTGCCGAGTCAATTTTCTTAATTTTGTTTTCTGCAGTAAAATATTCTCTATGACGTATGGGTTGTTCTGGGGTGTCCATACTATAAGTATCTGTGGGTAGGATGAGGGTGGTTGACGATGGGATTAACGTATGGGTTGAAGACTATAAGACAGCTGAGTTACCATTCTAACCGCTAGGCAATGCCATCTAACGTGTTTTGTATATGACGTATTGATTATTCTGTGCCTATTGTAGAGCAATGATTGTTCTGTGCTGTACCTGTTGTAGAGCAATGATTGTTCTGTGCTATGCCTATTGTAGAGTATCGGGTGGGGAAGGAGGATGTCGGTTACCGACTGGGCGAACGCCTGGGCTGCAATTAGTAACAAAGGTCAAGCAAGAAGAAGAATTGTCAATTCTGACATTTGGTTTCTTCTCTGACTCATAAAGACCTAATTGCGCAAGTAAATTTTTGAAATAAAAATATATCAATATTATTTACTACAGTAATCCTTATAAGATATATAGAAGTAGATTTAGTAGTATATTCATATAATTTATTCATTTCAGATTTCACACAATATTCTGTACCTAAAACTTATAGTGAGGAGGTTAGGGGTTTCTCTAACCAATCTGTCTTACCGTATGGTGTTGTTCACTGATGTAAACAAGACTGAATGAATGAGCCGAATGGATTGACTACGCACAAGTAGTTGGGATATGTTATTGATGTCGAAAATATTCGTTCATTCTGTAAATATCCCATTCGAGTAACTGTTACCATGCAGTGATGATGAATGTCTGAATATCTGTGTATCTGTGTGTGTCAAAGAGACAAGTACGTGGCTGTGTGTCATTGTGGAGATACAAAACTAACAATTCACAAAATTAAATATGGGTTTGAGCTAGTCATTGCGAGCTTTATTTTGCTGTTGGAATCGTTTTTTTACGATTTATGTATAGTACACGTTTCTATCTTTAGTACCAGAAAATAAATGACGGTACTTAAAGATGTCTGTCGTATTTTGAAATTCAATGAGTACCTCACACTTATGAAAAAGAAAAAATGGAAAGGGCGAGCTTTGAAGTGTAGATTTTTCATTAATAATAGAACGATTATTATTCTTACTGAGGTTACTCAGATGTAAGAAAACCAGAAGCGAAAGTGTGGGAAAAATCACAGCTTTTATTACTTTGTTCGGGAAAATCCCTGCTTTTCACATATTTTGAGAAAAAAAAAACACCTTTTGTCATTTTGTACAGAAAAAAAACCCGCTGTTCTAATTTTTGGGGTAAATGCCCGCTTTGGATACTTTTTTGGGACAAAGTTTACAGTGAAATCCCGGTATTAATACCGATGCTGGGACTGATATAAAGTGGTCTTAATAGTAGCTTGGTCTTATTAAAGAGGGGGTCTTAATCCTGAGTTGAAATCCCAAGGTAGATATTTGATTTTCTGTAATACAAAACCTAGGTGTTAATAATCGTATTTTATGACTGGTTTCTACTCCGCGAAATATATTTTAATATTTACCTGACAAATAAATAACTCGTGTATAACTCGTTGGTAGTTAGTGTGTTGCTGTTTTGTTGCTATTTTTATATTTCCCATTAAAGCAATCGTGGAGCCGTAACAGTTCATATTATTCTGTGTCCACTAATTACCATATTCAGATAAATTACATCTTATTTTTACGTTTTAATGGATTCCTATAAGAATTGTCCGCTAATGTAGTCAAAGGGGAGGTAATTCGTGATTATTTTCAGTTATATCTATAATTTTGTTTAGAGAGGTGATGTGGCCTGGCGTGGATTAAAAACTTCACCCGTGTCATTGTGTATTCTCAGTTATTTTATTATAAGACACATAATAATGAGTCACGGATCTTCAATCTGAATTGGGGTGGGGGATGGTTAGCGCGTGCGCGTTGTATCAGAAGGTCTGTCATTGATTCATCTGGCGTGGTTTCGATTCCGCTGTTATACATGTCAAGGCGTAGGGTCGCCTGTCATACCTCGTGAGTTTTCTCCGGGTCCTCCGGTTTCCTACCACTGCATAAGAGCCCTACGCACAAGACAATTATTAAAATAAAATTGAATCATATGTTAGTCCCGAACTAACCTAGTTTGCGTGGAGTGGACGTTAACCCCCCCCCCCCCTCTCAATCTGTATTGTTATTCTAAACTGACCAAAGATTCATAGTCATATCTTTTAATATATATTCAAGAATCACGGTGGTTTGGTAACATAGAAAATAAAATAAAATACCGTAATACCATACACAAGTTGAAACTAACGAATACAGTCAGTATAACCCTCTTTGAGTTACAACAAAATGTCTGAAACAACCATGACATTGTTTACCCGAAGAAGGGTACCCCCTCCCCTTCCCATACAGCCAGGCACGCGGTAAAATAGAAAATAAAAAAAATACCATAACAGATTGGAAATATATGAACCTCAAGAGTTATCCACAGACAACTTTCTTTTGTTTAGAATATTCCAACAAGTAAGTATCCACTGGTTTAATATCAAATGGTTTAATATCGGTAATCGCATCATTCCTCCGTAGATAACCAGGTTATCGCATGATGTCTTCGATCTAAGGATAACCCTTTCCTGTTCCGTACACCCCCCCCCCCCCCAACAGACGCCAATTACGTTAGCAGTCGGCGTTCGGTCGTCGTCGAACTTAATGTCCACTTCAGACTTGGCCTCAATATCATCCTCGGCACCAAGATCTGTCCATTTTAAAAAGTGTGCCACTGCGTAAGGGCTGATTAATTTTGGCATATGGTATACAGACAGCTCTAATCTCAACAATAAAATCTGATAAATATGTAATATCAGAACCAAGGAAATGAACACAGGTTGGCCTGGGTGAAATAATAATCAAACATGAGTTCCTCTTTCTGAGGGGGGAGCCACGGTGGCTAGCCTGGAGGTCGGGTGTTCGATCCCTGAATGGCCGAGAAAGTTCATCTGGATTTTCCGACGTGGTTTCCCCTTGTCAGTGGTGCAGAGCGGAGGGCCTGACAAGGACAGCTGTCTAGTCCTTCGGATGAGACGGAAAACCGAGGTCACGTGTATATATTGGAATGCACGTAAAAGATCCTTGGCAGTTGGAATTCGATATAAGAGAAGGCCATAGCGCCGCTGCCCAGGCAAAATTTTCCTCATATCACACTGTATGGCGTATGCCCGTCTTCATTTGCCCAGTATAGGAGCAGAACAGTAGGACGTCAAACCCCATTTCATTTCATTTCTGAGGGTGTAATAATAATCAAAAAGTCACTAACCGCAAGCATGATATCTTGGCATATAATGGTATTTTCAGAATAAGATAATAAGAGCACGTCTTACTCGGTGGACTTAAAAGTATTATATTCGGATCAGGGCCAATAACTCTTATCAATGATATTAAATGAAACGCAAAGCCACTGTCTGTTCTAGGCAACACTATGACTAGAAAAGTGTTTGCTATTTCTTCAATATTTAATTAAAATGGTTAAAACTTAACGACCTACCTGGAATTATCATCCCATTACTTTCTGCGTCGAGTCTTAAGGCCTATCATTTCGATAAAATCTATTATTCTCTTGTAAATTTAACATATTTCGACACATACCACATATTTCGAACATAAACAATACCACTGCGCCTGCGTAAATTGGGTCACTCGTATATCAGGGAGGGGTATAATGATATTCCACAAATCAAGTGGATTCGGTTAATATTGTCTTGTGAAGGAGGATTCGCACGTTTGTTTTAGTGGAAGTAATACTTATTTTCTATTATTTTCAGAGCTGTTTCTTGAAAAAAAAACCTTTTTTTTTCTTTTTTTTCCTTTTAATTGGTTACCGGTATTTTAATATTTCTTAGAGATATTCATACATTAAGGTTTTATTGACGAAGCACAGTTTCCGCAGATGTTTTTTTTTTTTGATAGGTACTTCCCTCCGTGGGTTCCGACAAAATTTCCAAAACGTGACTACGTGACGATTTCCACACAGAAATTGATATGCTCAATTTAGCTTCTTCCATCGTTTTTTTTCAGAATATACCTTCTGAAATAAAATGACCAATTAACTGCGACCAGATCAAAGAGGCTTGCCATTCCTGAATTATCACCACTCTTACACTTTTATAACCAAACAATCGGTTGCCATACACGATATGCCTAGAATTTGTAAGAGGTTGACGGGAAATTGGGAAAATGGATAGGGCTCAACCTCTCAATGTCCCAATGCCTCACATCGAATGTGATCCTGTAGCCTATATCGTGTTCACAAGCTTTTTGGAAAGGTTTGGTATCTCGAGAACGGTAGGTTACGAAAGCTCTTGGACAACACTCCAATGCTTCCTGGTATTTAAAAGTCAATAACATAAAATCCGAGGTTACTAACTGGTTAAACTAAACAGGCCTTAACATTGATCCAACAAAAACAAAGTAAGTATTTTATAAGAACCCTCTTGCAATGCTACTAAACTAAACACAGCACCGCCACACGTCGTTACGCGTCCATATAGCACCATGAAATACCCCACCAGTGGGTGGATTGAAATTTGTTTGCAGCTTTGATAACATGAGCTATTGTACATGGAGGCAGAATTATTAAGAATGGTGAGCTTACATCGTCCTCCACAGCAATATAAGACGAACGATATAGCCCACCAGCATGGACATTTAGTCTTGCGGTTACCAGTAAGATACTGTGAGTTAAACCAAATAGAGATAATTTACAGTAACGATTATCACTGACATTTGGGAGGCAGTCACGTTGGCGGCATTGAATGATAATAAATCTTTTTTTATCTGTGATGTTCCAAAAATGTTAAAACATTCATTTATGAAACATTTTACTACACCTTATAACATTTTAAAGTGTCTCCACATTAAGTCAAAAATACTTTCATTTTACCATAAGAAAGGGGCTATGTAGCTCGGAGGAACACAACCTGTAAAACCATAATTATTTGTAATCTGGTGACACTTGAATTTTGGATTCGCCTGAAAAAAAGCAGGATGTTTTGTCTATACATTGGGATGAAAGAAAGATTCGACGACCATTTGACTCAAACTAAGGTTTAGTTTTACATCAAAAATTGGCTTGTTCACAGTGATCTTTAACATTGGGAGAACACTGGAGAAACCCAACAAGGTTGGGCAGGCGTCCCAGTCCTGGCTTCAAAAACACGCCAAATGACTCAGTACCAGAGGTTGTAATCTTAAGCGGACTTGGAAGACCAATCGAACACTATATATAGTATTGACTACAAAAGCAAAACGACTGAGAGTACAATAGAACACTATATATGGTATTGAGTAAAATAGAACACCATATATGGTATTGGGTAAAAAAGTACACTGCATTTGGTATTAAGTATAATAGAACACTATATATGGTATGGAGTAAAATAGTGCAGTATATGGTATGGAGTAAAATATAACAATATGTACGAGCACGAGCTCCAACTAAGAGTAGGGGGCCTCCCCCAGAAAATTGTGAAAAACAGATTGCCGGAAATGCAGCCTGGCAGTATTTCAGGCACTGATCAATGAGGTAAAGTGTCAAACGAACGGACTTGCGAATCACGACGAAGCCCACTCACGAGCGTCAAAGTAGGGAGTCCTCCCCCAGAAAATTTTGAAAAATAGACTGCCGGAAATACTGTCTTACAGTATTCTGCCAGGCACCGATCGTCGAGATAAATAGATCTGCCCAGATACCGTTCGTCGCCTGATCACTAGTTTATCTGACTAGAGAACAAATTGTCAAACGAACACACGTGCGAACCTCAACGAATTCACCTTGTGAGCGCCAAAGTAGCGAGTCCATTGCGGAACTCGCCAAGAAAATTTTGAAAAATAGACTGTCGGAAATGCTCTACAACATGCAAGTTTATGACTGAGTGGGGATGTGGGATTTATTCACCGTAGAAGGTATTGATGACCGAAACGTATCACAAATACTTTTTTTTATTTTCTAAAATTATTTGGGGGGGGGGGAAACAGAGGGCAGACCTTGCCCCCCCCCCCCGGGCGCCGCCACTGGCCTTGATGGAGTTTGGAGATTAGCCTTTTTCTGCTTGGATAAGCAGAGATGAGGAATTTGATTGGTTTATGCTTTTGAACACGATAATATTAGTTCTAGTTAAAGGACAATATTAGTGTCAGTCATTATCACACGTTCCAAATATAATTTTCACACAGAGATCATTGCTACGATAGATGCGTAATCAAGGTTTCTACAAAAGGAAGTGACGAACACAAAAGGAAAAGACGAGTTATCCTTCTATATAAATGACAAAAGTGACGAGTGACAACAGATACACGGGCGAATATCTTCTCACTAACAATTCCTTCGAAGACCGAAAGTTGTTATGTGAGACTGTGAGAGGATATCTGACAATTCAAAAAAGAGAACATGAGAAAAATAGAAGTAGTCCAGTAGTCCGTACATTTACTTGTGTTTATTCATCCTTATATACTTAATAAAAAACATGGTAATGCACGGACTTTTTCTATATTTTTTCGTTTTCTCTTTTCTAGTGACAG